TTCTCACTCCTTTCCTGATTTTGAACCGTGAAGTGTTTTCCTTCTCTATTCTGAGGAGTGTTTCCTCTTCCAAGTATAAGTTTCACATAAGCACAATCAAGTGTTCTGGGATTCCCATTCTTCCCAAGGTTAACCACAATTTATTGTAATCTACACAGTCAAATGTCTCCATACCTTTTCAATCTATATGCAGAACAGATCATTTGAGAGGGTAGGAGGCTGTGCTTTATGAGAAGGAATGTGGCATCAGTATTGGGGGAAGACTGATCAACAACCTACGTCATACCGATGATACAACCTTACTTGCTGAAACAGAGGTGGACCTAAAGTGCATGCAGCAGAAAGCCAAGCATGAATTGAAGCTCAACATCAGGAAGATAAAGATTCTCATCACTGGGCCAAGTGAAGCACCATAATGGATGGAGAAAAGATTGAGGTCATTAACAGTTATAGCTTGCTCAGCTCCACAATCAATACTCTTGGCACTAGCAGTCAGGAAATTAAAAGACAAATTGCCTTAAGTAAATCTGCTGTCAGGGACCCTTCTAGAGTACTGAGAAGCAACAATGACAGTCTAGAGACAGTCTAATCTAGGCCATGGTCTTCGCAATTACTTGCTATGCATCAAAGAGATGGATAATGACTAAGGATGACAGAAGAAGAATTAATGGCTTTTAGGTTTGGGGCTGGAGAAGAGTGGACTCTCAAGGAAACAAATAGGTCTGCCTTGGAGAGGGTGAAACCAAGTTTCTCCTCGGAGGCTAGGATATTGAAGCTCTGTCTCACATACTTTGGACATGTGGCCAGGAGAGACTGGTCCTTAGAGAAATACATCATGCTTAGAAGGGTGGAGGGATAGCCCAGGAAAGGAAGACCCCAGATATGATGAATTGATATAGTAATTAGGCAATGGGAGTAGGTGTGTCAGAGTCAGTGAGACTGGCTCAGGACAGGGTAGGCTTCAGAGCTGTTGTATTTGGGTCGCTATGATTCACAGGCAACTTGACAGCATGTAAAAACAACAACCACAGTGCATGGTGGCATGAGTCTGACAAGAGATGAGTTGAAGTGAAAACTGTCCAAGTCTAGAGCAACCAAGACAGATGTGGAGGAAATCCAAAGAAGATGTGCTGCTGTTAACAATTCAATGTTCAATCCCCAGGAGAAGACACAGTGACTCTGAGGACCACTGAGGTTTCAACAGTAATAACTTGCTGAACTTTATGTCGTGAACCTTCTGGATCTTTCAAAAAAGGAAAAGTAGAACTAAATATTTTCATTTTTTTTAGTTTAAAATCACATACATCTTAGAAAAATCATTACTAGGAACCTTTGAAAGGTTTTTTTTTAGAAAAAAAAAAAAGAAAGGTGGTGTTGTTTTTTTTTTGCAACTCTTTATTTCAATAATATGTCCTTAAAAACCAAATAAATATAAGGAAATGAAAACCAGGCATTAGTGTGGTAAATGTTTGCTTCCCTCAATGTATTTAAGTAAGTCATAAAACTATCTGTTCACCACCTGTTGGTGAATGCTTTATTAAAGGGAATGTGGAATGTTTTAAAATACTGATAAATCGTGCAATGAAAAAAAACAGTTAATAAAAAAGAAAGAAAGACGACACAGTGTTCTCCCATAAAGATTTTACAGCCTTGGACGTCCTGTGGAGCTGATCTATCTTCTCCGCCCTACAGGATAAGTGGAAAACAGGCTTGATGGTAAGAGGCTTTGGTTTTAATTTACTGTCTGCTTCTGTGCCACGTGTAATGCAAGTTAAAAGGACCTTGTGGCACAGTGTGTAGCACGTCAGACTGCTAACCAAAAGGTCAGCAGTTCACATACACCAACCACTCTGAAGGAGAAAGATGGTCAGTCTCCTCTTATAAAGATTTACAGCCTTATAAGCCAGCTGAAGGCTTGCTATGAGTCAGAAATAAATCCACAGCTATGGGCTCAGTTTGATTTTTTTTCCATTTTCCCCTCTTTTTTTCAGTTTGATTTTTCTATTTTTATCACTTGCAAGTGTCAGGACAGGGATTTGTAAATACAAGTGAATGATGTGAGCCAGGACCTTGTTGCTGTGGAGAGAGGTAGAGGTGTGATTCTGTGAGATTGATTCTTTGGGCTTTGAAGTATGTTTACTGTTTCTTTTGTGGTATTTGGAGGGTGTGCCTTTTGGCATTGGGTGATATTAAAATGCATAGGGTATCTTCAGGTGAAGTACAGTATAAGCACGTCTTTTTGTGTGCCTCAAAGCCACAGGTCCCAGTCAGGACCACTTACATTTTCTCAGTCGGGCTTTTGAGGAACTCTGCACAGCCAACGTAAGGTACTCTGATCTTACATTTTGCTTTCAATAAAAACAGGGGTTTAAAAAAAAAAAAAACAACAAACAACACACACACACACACACACAACCATGTTTTTCTTTGCTTCATTCCACCTATCTTCCATCCAGAATCTACTAGTACATATATGTACCAGTCAATAAATATAAAGTGATATCATTTTATAAGCAAACACCTCAGTACCTTCTAGTTGATTCCAACTCAATGATCTTGTAAGGAGGCCCAGAGTGGCCTGCAGCATTGCCAAGGCTGTAATCTATGGAGAAGGGGACTGCCTCACCTTTCTCCTGTTGAGTTGGTTAACATTTTGTTGTGCAAAACAAAATTTAAGAGAAAATAAAAATCTACTTCCTTAGTACCCGGGTATCTGAGGGAGGAGAAAACAGACAAAAAACAAAACAAAACCCACCTCACTGGCATGCAGTCAATTCTCATTTCGTGACCGTCGTCTTTTCCCTATTGGAAACCAGTCATGGATCGAATTGTGCCATGTATGTAGTGTGGAAACTGTCAGGGCCATGGATCTGCTCTTCCTCCTTTTCCCCAGAACAACTACAGTAATGATCAAAGCAGCAGCTGAGCTCTGTTTGTCTCTATTAGGGCTGCAAAACTGTTTCACCTCCCTTTCCCAGGAATAACTAACTATCCACGACCCCAGACTTGATCTTTTATCTTGTACCAAGCAGCTGTGAACATCCTAACTCCCAATTTCCTTGTAAGACAATGTTAAACTCCACTCTAACTTTAAGTAGGGGCTGGTTTCTACTTTAGTCCTGCCTGGCAGTTTCTCCTCAATAAACTCTTTCTTGACCTGAACTGGGTTCTGTCCTTCCTCCATGACTTTACAGAAACTACATAATAGCCCGCTATGAACAACATAGCTGTGGAAGGATTAAAGGTGGAATGCAACACCCCTTATTCCCATCAGAGCCCTGATCTAATGTAAGGGGAATTTTCCTGAAGTTTGGCTTCACAAGAGATAAAAAGGGATAAAAGAGAGCAGAGAGGAGGACCTGACCAACAAGAAAGAATCGTCAGAAGTGGAGTGTATCCTCTGGGACTCAGGAGAAGGCCAAGACACATGGAGATCTCCAAGGAACACAGGCTGACAGCTATTGAAGGACACAAAGACTCCTCCAGAACTGACCAAAAGAAAGTCTTTCCTTAGGGCAGAATCTGAACTTCTAGCTTCCTAAAATGTGAAAGAATAGATTTCTGTTTGATGAAGCTATCAACTTGTTGTCTTCGTTATAACAGCACTAGCTCACTAAAACACAACCTAACACAAGATTGGAGGGAGGCAGTCCATGCAGGTAGAGAGGGGTCTGAGACAGAAAGAAAGACAAGGGGACAAAGGGTGACAAGGAGGTGAGGAAGGGACTAGGCCACGGAGGGGTGTGTGTGGCTTCAGGATGGGGCTGACCTTGAGCAGGGTCAGCTGGGGCCTGACTACACACCTGGGCCAGCTGGCACCTGGCCCACCTGAGTCACCTCTCACTCCCTACTCACTCCCTACACTGGTTCCGGGTCAACAAGATGCCAGCTTGCACAAAGGAAGGTGGAAATTGTCTTTGGCAGATAATGTTGAAGATGTGGGTAGACTGGCAGCCTTTGCGGAGAGGAGAAACAAGCAGCATCCTGAGGCCCAGAGCAGCTGTGGCTTGAGACAATGCCTCCATCCCTGTGGACAAGCCAAGTGATGTGGTCACTTGGTTAGAGGCTGAGAAGAGCCTAGAAACTTGCTGCCTTATTCCTTTGCTCTTCTGGGAGGAGGAATTTATAAAATCAGGAGTGAGTCAGAAATATCAGCTATAGGTGACAAGGCAAGAAGCAGCTCTAAGGGGTGATCCTGGCCTTCAAAGCCACCTCTACGTCTCTGCCCCAAGTAAAGCAGGATGTGGGGGCAGCTTTGGAGTCAAGGAGGTGAAGATGGGGATGGGAGTGGGAAGGCGGTGCTGGGAGTATCCTATTCTTCCAGCACCTTGTTTTTCTGTGAGGTGAGTTTCTCTTAAAGACCCTACCTAGCCTTGCCCTCCTGATCTCAACAGAGCACAGCCCTCCCTTCATTAGCCTTCTGTTGAGATGGGCGAGTTTATGAAGGTTGTGCTGGAGCCTGGAACGGACAGAAGTCAAGACATTGCAGTACGTGGAAACCAAGGGTGTGCTTAAGCCCCACGTGGACAAGACATACACAGAGACACACACACACACAAACACACACACAGAGGTCCCAACTAGCGCGTACACACACACACACACACACACACACACACACACACACGTCCCCAACTAGCACGCGCGCGCGCACACACACACACACACACACACACTGAACGTTTCAAAGTCCCTACACACAGGATGGGAAAACAGGAACTGGAGAATAAATAATTTCTTGTTTTTGTAAGAATAAATAAGATGGGCGGGCGGGATTTACAAATAACTGTAAAAATCTTTAACATTTATATACTGTACGCACATGCCCACAGGCTCCACGGAAGGATTCCAAGCCGCGGGGCGGGGCCACCTTCCCTGCGCCGACACACAGGCGCCCCCTAGAGGTAGATCGCTTATTTACAAGGGGAAGACACGTGGCCCAGGCGGGCTATTCCCGCCGGCCTGGTCTCCCTGGACTTTGCTCCTGGGCATCCCCAGCTTTAGGAACCCCTCTGCGGCGCTCTCTAGACCCCACCCTCTTGTGAGTGTCCCCGGAGCTGCACGCCTTGCACAATTCTCTGGATCCAGGAGCGGTGGGCGGTCAGACTGATGTAGACTCCTGGGCGGTTTCGCTCAGCACAGCCTTCTCCCCAACTGATAATACCGGCCAACAGCCAGGTCCCATCCACTTGACACATCAAAGGGCCCCCGGAATCACCCTGTTTGGAGAAGGGGAATGTAGAAGAAAGGTGTGCATGAGGGAGAGGTAGAGCAGGGTTTATTTCTAGGGATTTCATTTCTCCTTTTTGGAGGTGGAGCAGGTCAAAGAACCCGCCTGGGGTGAAGAGCATCCTTAGAGAAGTTCCTGAGTTGGAGTCTACCCAGAGGTACCTCGGAAGAAAAGCCTGGCAAACTACTTTTGCAAAGCCAGGCCCTGAGAAGTCTATGAAGTGTGGTTCTACACTGACACTCACCAGTATACTATGAATCAGATTTGGTTGGTTTTGCTTGTCTGTTTATCTTCCCCTCACAGCCTTGTGAGTATATTGTTATTTCTGGTTTCCAGATGAGAAAATCGAGGCTCAAAATGAAGGAATGGCTTGTCCCAGCCAAGGCATTCATGTGGCTGAGGAGGAATGCAGGCTGGGTTTTACAACGCCCACACCAGGCCTTAACCAGGGGACCTTCTCTGCCATTTCCTGGAGCTAGAGGTAGAGAACCCCCTCAAGTGGGATCAGTTTCATGCCCAGCTGCATCATGGTTTCTAGCTTCTGGACCAGCCACAACTCTGATGCTGTGTTATCTGCATGAAGGATGAACCATAATTAATTATGCCTGGGCCAGGCTGGGAGCTGAGGGCATGTCCACCTCAGTGCTGGTTCTGGGGAGGTGAAGGGACCAGTGAGGGCAGGCCTGATGCAGGCTGGGGGTGGGGAGAAGGTGGGATGCTCACCAGGCAGGCATCTCGCTCTCCTTCCAGGTAACCAGCACACAGCATGTCTGCAGTGATGGCTTCCTGGCCAGCTCCCCGCCAGTATAGACGGTTGCAGATCTCCGAGTCGATGATGGGAACCTTCAGCTTCTGCAGGGTCTGAGGATAGGGCAGGGGCACTGGCAGCAGAGAGGACAGAGTCAGGCCTGGGCCCTCCTAATCCTGTCTCAGGGACCTATTTCCCTCCATTCAGCATTTATCCAGAGCTAATGTTTGGCCTGGAGCTGTGGTGATCCAATGGATTAGGCGTTCATTGGAGTGCTAACTAAAAGGTCAGAAATTCAAAACTACTATCTTCCAGATAGGAGAAAAGGGAGGCAGTTTGTTTCCATAGAGATTTACAGCGTTGGCAAACCTAAGAGCCAGTCCCACACTTCCCCATTCGTTACAGCCTCAGCAACTCTTGAGATCCAGTCACACTGCCCTATAGAGTCATAGGAGTTGGAGTCAGCTCAATGGCTGGGTGGTGGAATGCTCTGCTAGACTCTCTCTGAACTCCAGAGCCCCGGCCTTGGGATCTGCTGGATTAGAACCCGTGAACGTAGGGAGAGAGCATGTTTAATGAGTTCTTTGATGCCCACAAAATGCTAACAACCAGGTGTCCAGCTTTCCCCATGCCAGAAACTACGTTTCCCAGCTTGAGGACTGCTATAGAAGCAATGTTCAATAAAAGGTCAACTAGAAGGTCAGTGGATCAAGCCTCCCGCCCCATCTGCTCTGTGAGAAGAAGATGAAGGAACCTGTTTCTATACATTACAGCCTTGGAAACCCCCAGGGCAGTTCTGCTCTGTCCTCCAGGGTCACCACGATTCAGGATCAACTTGATGGCAGTGGGAATGGGTGCTGTCCACTGAGTGCAAATGAACCTGGGTTTCCCTTGTTAGAACTTGAGGAATCCCCATGCCTGCCTGGCACGAGTCCATACTCTTCCCAATCATAGTTCCAGCTCCCATGGGGACTTCAAAAAATGACTGTAAACATTAGCATCAGTGAAATTCCCAGCCACCCGGCCTGGTGTTATTTCTCTGAATCCTTCTGACTTTGGCTAAAGTTCTTGGCTCGCCCACTGTCTCCCTTAGTCTCTCCTTCAGATTCCATCTTCCAAATCACCACTGTACCTCCTGCATCTCTGAATTTCTGCTTATATGGTTCAGTCTCAATCCCTCTCTCTCTCTCTCTCTCTCTCTGCCTCTTGTGCTTTTTTTTATCTAGTCTGTCTCTTCATGATATTTTCCAAACATCCAGATGTAATTTGAAAATTTTAATTGTACAAGTAACTAAAAAATTCAATGCATTGGCTTTGAGCCAGAACTGACTCACAGCTGACCCATTGAGCTCAATGCCTTAGCCACAGTGACACCAGAACTCCTTCATAAAGTTAAATGATCTAAAATTGCTCACTTAGATTGCCACTTCTGTTCTCAAGCCCTTGATGCTGCGGTATCTGTGTCTCTGTGTCCACCACCCTCTGTTCCCCTCCACCCCAACCACTCTGCGGGGCAGGGGGCGGTCCTCACTTCCATCATGGATGCTTCCCCAGCCTGCAATCCAGCAGTCAGTGTTGGGAGGGAGCTGGACAGAGTAATCAGGAAGGCAGATGGGCAGGATCCGCTCAGAGAACAGGATGGGGTGTTCGAGGCGCACCAGGGCGATGTCAGCTCGGGCACCCTCTTTCCAGGAGTACACGGGGTGGGGCAGCACCCAGGCAATCCCTACGTTCTGGGACCGCAGGCCTGGGGTGCCCAGTTGCCAGAGCCCCAGCAACACAGAGAACTCGGACAGCCTGTCCAGCTGGCTGCTGGAAAGAGAGGATAGGCTCAACCAGGGGACAAGGAGGAGGGGGAGAGTGGGGCAAAGAAGCTTCTAGGAGAAGTTGGGTCTTCACCAGGGAGTGCTAGGGCTGGACAGAGGTTGTGGAGGATTCGAGTGGGTGGGAACAGCTCCCCACATACCCCTTGAAGCAGTGGGCAGCCGTGACCACCCAGCGGTGGGTGAGCAGGGAACCTGCACAGTGGTGGGTCTGGTTCTTCTGGATGCTTACAATCCATGGCCACTCTGCGTCAGCACTGTCCTCGCCCCCCACGATGCGGTTCAGCTTCTGGGGCTTCCCACAGGCTGGGGTTGCTGGGAGGAATGAGGTTGTCACCCCTCACGTTATCTCTTCCCCCTTCCAGTCCCTCCGTCTGCCCTCCTCACAGGCTCAGGCCGAAGGTTCCAGTTTCTCAGCTGGCTTTCCCTCACCACCTCTTTCCTTAGCCGCCCCCTCCACTCTGTCCTGTTCACCTCCTAGCCCTCCTCTGGGCTCGGCTTTGCTCTGCATCTTCTTCCTTTCTCTCCCCCCCCTTTCTGATCCTGCCTCCCCTCCACTCCTTTCTCCCATTTCTCTCACTGCACCCCCTCCAATCCTATCCCCCTTCAGACCTTCCATCACAAACACACAGGCACAGTCCCCCCACCTGCAGCTGCCCTCTTTATCACCCCTCCCCAAAGGGCAACCAGTGAGCACTCACCAGGCATTTTGGCAGCATCCAGGGTGGCTGAGGATGAGAGAGAGAGGCAGAAAGGGTCAGCGGGGAGGGAGCCTATCCCCAGTGAAAGGATGTCAGGTGCAGGGCCCTCTCCATGTGGCTCACTTCTCAGCTTCCCAGTGCTCCATTTCCTGATGCCCCAAGTCCTCTCTGTACAGCTGGGGCCCCACACTCACCTCCTACCAGCTTCCTAGCCTGTTTGAGGCTCGTGCTAACTGCAGGAATAGGACCAGGCCTAGGGGTTCTGACTGAGGGGCTGCTGGCGATGCACAGGCTCTGGCTGCGGGATTTCTTCCCCAGGCTGAGCTCCAACCCAGTACCTCTCAGACAGTACCTCTCACAGTCTGTCCTGCACACATAGTACCTCACAGTGTGTCTATCAGTCTCTTTCTCATACAAACACACACACACAGAGTCTATTTCAGTGTCCCTCTCCCCGTCGCTCTCTCATCTAGTATCTCTCTCACACACAGTGTGTCTCACACACAGTATCTCTCTCTCACATAAACATGTCTGCCTCTCAAAAGTACAAACAGAATGTGTCTCCCACAGAGTATGTCTCTCACAAACACAGTGTCCTCATACAACACAAACACAATGTCTGTTTCTAGTAAATGTAGACACAGAATGTGTTGCTCTCACACACAGTGTGTTTCTCACAATGGTTCTCTCACAAACACTTACACAAATGTCTGTCACTCACAAAAGTAGATATACGTGGCCCTCTGCCTGGGGCGGGCTGCCCTCAGCCCTCTGCCTGGGGTGGGCTGCCCTCGGCTCTCGGCTCGGGGCGAGCCATTGCGGCCCTCTGCCCGGGGCGGGCTGCCCTCGGCCCTCGGCTCGGGGTGAGCCGTCGCAGCCCTCAGGGTGAGCTCCTCAGTACCCAGTTGGTGCCATTGTCCCCAGATTGACCCCTGGGTGGGGAAGGAGAAAAAAAAAAGAATGCCTAGGGTATCCAATGTTACCTAGGACACCTTCTGCCACCCTCCCCCCCAGTAAACCTGAAAGCAACACCCTCAAAGCCCTTCTATTTGTAACTCACAAGTTTGTTCTCTCTAGGTTTGCTCCCTTTCCTATAGGTAACCTTAACTCTTGACTCCAGAATTGACCCTGAACCCAGTGCCAGTGACAAAAAGAAAATACAACTGACAGCTAAGGAAGCAAAGGAGGATGGAGCCTCTGGGTTCAACCAGCCATCCCCACTGGACCCACCTGAGAAAACACTTTGCATTCCAGAGGGGAGCAAATGACGGGAAAATATCTTCTAACAGAGCAAGAAGGCAAGCAGCTGTAACCCAAGACCACCAGTAAGGTGATAAAGCGTCCTCCCTTCCCCCCTTTACATCTACGCCCCTGTTCAGCATGAAGAAGCCAGAGAGTCGGCATCCAATTCCCACATCAATAAGACAGTTGGTTTAATTACCATTGGAAAATGCTTGTCATTCCTCTGTAGTATCTGGTCCATGCTAGACCCTCATTATTTCCTTCACCTGCTCCCTCCACCGACCAAACTGTGCAGCTCTGCAACTGCATCCTGGCCCATCCTCACCCTTCTGCCCCCAACCCTCACCTCCTTGTACCCCCATTATGTTTTTCCCAATTAAAAAAAAAAAGTAGATATAGAATATGTCCCTCACAAGTGTGTCTCAGTCACACCCAGAATGTCTCCCCTTCAGAAGCACATGCTACCTATCACAGAGTGTCTCTATTGCTCATATGTGCAGTGTCTCTGTCTCTCACACACAGTGTCTCTGTCTCACACATGCAGTGTCTCTGTCTCTCAGAAATGCAGTGTCTCTGTCAGACATGCAGCTCCTGTCTCTCACACACAGTGTCTCTTTCACACATGCATTGCCTCTGTCTCTCACACATGCAGTGTCTCGGTCTCTCACAGTGTCTCTGTCTCTCATACATGCAGTGTGTCTGTCTCTCACACACAGTGTCTCTGTCTCTCACACATGCAGTGTCTTTCACACATGCATTGTCTCTGTCACACATGCAGTGCCTCTGTCATACATGCAGTGTGTTTGTCTCTCACACATGCAGTGTCTCCGTCAGACATGTAGTCTGTCTCTCACACACAGTGTCTCTGTCTCTCACACATGCAGTGTCTCTCACAGACAGTGTCTCTGTCTCTCACACCCAGTGTGTCTGTCCCTCACACATGCATTGTCTCTGTCACACATGCAGTGTCTCTGTCTCTCACACCCAATGTCTCTGTCTCTCACACATGCAGTGTCCCTGTCTCTCACACCCAGTGTCTCTGTCTCTCACATATGCAGTGTCTCTGTCTCTCACACATGCATTGTCTCTGTCACACATGCAGTGTCTCTGTCTCTCACCAGTGTGTCTGTCTCTCACATATGCAGTGTCTCTGTCTCTCACACCCAGTGTCTCTGTCTCTCACACCCAGTGTCTCTGTCTCTCACACATGCAGTGTCCCTGTCTCTCACACATGCAGTGTCTCTGTCTCTCACACATGCATTGTCTCTGTCACACGTGCAGTGTCTCTGTCTCACACATGCAGTGTCTTGGTATCTCACACATGCTTTGTCTCTGTCACACAGGCAGAGTCTCTGTCTCTCACACCCAGTGTCTCTGTCTCTCACACATGTGTGTCTCTCTCACACAGACAACACTCCCTTCGAGCCCAAGGCCTGGATGCTGCTGTCCTGTCCCCTACCCCACACACCCCTTCCATCACCCTGCACCCTCCCACCATGGAGATGCCAGGATAAGAAGAGGAGCAGGTGGGATGAAGGTGATGGAAGTGAAGCCCACAGGTAACAACTACAGATCTGTCCCAGGAGAAGCACATCACAGAGGGTCAGCAAGAGAGTAAGGCCTCAAGGAGGGAGACTGGCTCAGTGGCTGGTTAGCACAGCAGGGATTGTGAGGATGACAGGGTGGGGTGTAGGGGGGTGGGGGTCACCAGGAGTGGGGTCCACTCCATGATACGGAACAACAACTCCAAAGCTGGTGCGTCCTGATCGCTCCTTAGGTTCTAGGCCCTGCCATGGAGCTGACCTACAGCCCTCATAGCTGTAAGGGAGACTGAGGAAGGCGACCAGCAGTGAGCAGAGCGCCAACAAGAGGGAAGGGATGGGAGAAGAGAGGAAGGAGACCAGCGTCGGGGCCCTGGGACTCACCCGAGGTCCAGAGCAGCAGGGCGGCCAGGGTCCTGAGGCCGCCCCCAGCCAGCACCGAGGCGGATCTAAAAACCACCATGGCAGTGGTGCGACAGGGTCAGGTGGTGGTCTCGGGTGACCGAGGGCTGTGTGCGCTGCGGGCGGCAGTCAAGGGCCCAGACCTCCCCGCAGGCCCGGCCAGGTTTTATGCCGCGAGCGGAATGTGGTCAGACCAGTCCTAGGGCGCCGGGTCCCCGCCACCTGGGGCTGCGGGTCACGGGGCGGAGCGGGGGGCGGGCCTGCAGGGAGGAAATGCACCGTTAAGGCCTGGTGGCTGGGCTATCTATGCTGGAGAGCCTGCGGGCCTGGGGAGCTGTCTGGGGCACACAGAGGGAGGTCCTTAATATTGAAAAGCAAGCATCCGGAGTGGAGAGAAGCTCAATCCGAATGTCTGGATGGGAAGCACCTGAAATCCGAATTTAGGGTGTTTCCCCACCCCCCAGCCCAGCCACAGTCTTGGGGCGATGGGGCTGATGAGGGCATGCGAGTGGGTGCAGTAACAGCTCCTGCCTCCAGGGGTGACTTGGTAGCCCAGCCGCCCCGGGGCCTGCACATCCCGTTAACCCTCTTCTGGGAAGGTTGAGTCAGGCTCGGCTGACACTGCAGCCGCCCGGTCCTGTCCCTGCAGCGCCTTCCCAGAAGCTGAGAGCGGCCTTCCTGTGTGCCCCTTGGGCGGGCCTCAGCGAGGTCACCTCTCACCTGGGTTTCCCGTAGCCAGCCCCAGACGCACATGGGCTGGCAGGGGGAGGGCTGAGGTCTGCAAGCAGGACACTCATCTCAGGGTAGGAATACCCGAGGGCCCCACTTCAAGGGGCTCGAGCCTCACAGGCTTTGCAGAGCAAACCAGGGAGTGGACAGAGACCACTAGGGTCTCCCGGGCAGAGCCTGCCCTCTGAAATTCAGGGTCACCTGCAGCAGTGCCTAAGGTTCCCTGACTCACCGCCCTGCAGGCTTGCAACTCCCCCACCCCAAGCAAGAGACTTCCTCCTGTGGGACAGACCCGCAGACCTCTGGCCATTCATTCATTCACCCTAATGGGTGGGAAGCGGGAGATGAATAATGATAATAGTGCCAACAGTGAGCCAGCCATTGATTCATTCAAAAACCCAAATTCCCTTCTTATTCCCACTTGACAGATGAGGAAACTGAGACTTAGAGAGACTGAAGATCAGCTTGTGAAGGTCAGCCATCCGGCAACACTGGATTGGGGACTCAAATCCAGATTCTGCAGGCAACTCTGGAATGTTCTTAGATGAACACTGGAGGTGAGGAAGTGGGGTGCAAACTGGTGATCATATAGAGACAGTATTAGAGTGGAGGCCAGGAGGGCTGTCCAAGAGAGGGGCATTTGCGCAGCCAGTGCAGGAAGCCTGTCTGGGGCTTGGAACTGGATTCTGGAGGCCAAGGACACCGGCCTGGCCTTTCTGAGCAGGCCTGACTTCCTTGGAAAGTTCACAAGCACCATACAGACCTGCTCTCCCACTGCAGCCCACCTCCTGTTAGGGCTGAGTGTTGGCAGGACCAGGCTGGCCCTGGAAGAAGCCACCTCTTAGGCAGGGTCCCGGGGTCTGCAAGCTTCTACGGGAACTGTCACCAGCAAGGAAGACCCCTGAGGCTAGGGGTGGGAGCCACGATGAAACCAGGGTTAAAAGCTCACCTGCTAAATGAAAGGTTAGCAGTTCAAAGCCATCAGCTGCTCTTTGAGAAAAGTCTTAGCAATCTTTATAAGAAACCGCTGCCTTCGAGTCCATTCCAATACCTAGTAGCCCCACAGGGCAGAATAGAACTGCCCTACAGGGGTCTAATGCTGCAAATCTTTATGGGAGCAAATGGTCACGTCTTCCTCCTGTGGATTAGCTCGTGGATTTGAACCATTAACCTTTTGGCTAACAGACCAGCACCTAACACTACACAAGCAGGTTGCATTCTCATTTTAAATGGGGAGAGGGCAGCACACCATCATCCTCATCATGTCAATTCCAACTCCTGGAGGCCCTCCACTGGGCTCCCAAGCTGCAGTCGTTACGGGAGCAGACTGCCTCACCTTCTCCCAAGGAACAACTGGTGTCAATTCAAACGGCTGCCTTTCCACTAGCAGATTAAGCAAACTGGCAGCCTACAAAATCCTATGGGGCCATTCAACTCTGTCATAGGTGATCCCTATGAAGTCTAAGTTGTCTGCGAGACACCAAACTGCAGCAGGAGAGCTCATGGGTGCACTGGAGATGGCACAGCCCCCTTGCTGCACTCCTATAAAGAGAACACCAAGGATGGAGGATGAGGGTCTGAGGTCAGTCCTCTGCCCATGCACTGTCCTCTGTGGAGGGGAACAGCAGGGAAGGATCCCATGGAATAGCAAAGGTGGAGAAGTATCACTGGGAAACTGAACCCTCACCAGCTTCCACTCCTGGGGTCTTTCTCTGTACCCCAAGTCCCTCAGGCCCCCCTCAACCTACTACCTTCCTGAAACAAAAATGATTTGGCTCTCCAACTCACTAGATAGGCATTTATTGGATGCCTGCTGTATGTCCTAGCCTCAGGAAGCACACATCCTCATGGGGGAGAGAGGTTGATGAGTAAGGCTCGGAGCAGTGAGGTGTCAGGAGATGGGCAGGGCCTTGAGACCTGAGGCGTGTAGGAGAAGGATGTGGGCAGGGACCTTGGGGTCACCCTGATGTCGAGTGAGTATTCTGGGCTCCTGGGTGAAGAGGGACTAGTTTGGCCCCTTTGTGGACATTGGGCCTCAGTGGAGGTTTTTTGAATGAATAAGAATGAAAGAAGGGAGTCTGGAAGATTCCACAGGGATCCAATGGCTCCAGTCTCCTCCTTGTCCTCTGCTTCCCAGTTCCCTCTCCATCTGCTTTCTCTGCCCTCTTTAGAACCTAACCCACTGCCCTGATGTCATGTCATGCACAAGATACTGCTACCCTAAAATGAGTGGCAGGAAGGGGCTTCTGCGGGCCTGAACATCCCGGAGGAAGCTCACTGAAGTAGGGGAGAGTGACTTCTTGGCACAAGTTCTGACAAACAAGGAATCTTGGAGGGCTGGGGTGGAGACCCTGGTATGACTCAGCATTTAATCAGTCATACATGAAGTGCCTGCTCTGTGCCAGACCCATCCGGGCCATCTCCCACCTGAGGCACCACTCATCCCTGCCACCCACTCCTCAACCTCCTCTCCAGTCCAGCTCAAGATCACTAATTAATTTATACTAAAGTGTGGATGACTAATAGGGCTACAGGATCATCTACATCTTACAAGCAGCTGGAGCTGGCAAGGTTAACCCAAGGAGATGAGTCACCCATGATGACATCTACGACGTGGGCATGGGAGTCTGAGGAGATCATGTGAGCAAGAACTTGTACTCATCCAACCCAAACCTGCCCAGCACCTGCCTATGAGGTGCCTGAGGCTGTGCTGAGCCCAGGGCCATTCGAGAGAAGCACGCCAAACAGGGCCTTCTCCTGCCCTCATCAACCCACCCAGCAACTGGCTGTGGAGCCCCCTGCCTGGGCAATACAGTGGGTGAACTGAGCACTGGACTCCCAATCAAAAGATGGACAGACACCCCCTAATGCAGGGAAGATGAGCTACCCTGCTTCCCTAAGGACTTACAGCCTCAGGAACCCTATGGGGCCGTTCTGTTGTGTCATATGGGGGTATTGCCAAGCGAAACCCCCTCAGCGGTAGGAGGTAGTGGCAGGAGGTTTGGTTTGCAATTTAAGATGTTTTTAAGGAGTCATAGTGGCACTATGGGTTAAGTGTTGGGCTGCTAAGTGAAAAGCTGATGTTTTATTGTCTGTTCTATAAAGATTCACAGCCTGGAAACTCTCTGGGGCAACTCAACTCTGTACTTAAGGTTCTGTTAGTTGGAATCAGTTTGCAGTGGTCCAAAAACCTGCTGCCATCAAACTGTGTCCTGCTGGAAGAGCTGGAAGATGAATCTTAGAGTAGACCAGACAGAAACCTTACTCTCCCATAGCTGAAAGCAGATGGAACAGAATCAGCAAAACAAACAAGTGAATGATAGAATGTCCTTAGTTGTTGTCCAGTTAGGTCTGAGCATGGGGCTCCAAGTGTGCAGTGTCCTGTGTCCCTGTCCTGTGTCCTTGTCCCATGTCTGTGTCCTGTGTCCATGTTCTGTGTCCTGTGTCCATGTTCTGTGTCCTGTGTCCTATGTCCTATGTCCATGTCCTTGTCATGTATCCATGTCCTGTGTTCTTGTCCTGGTTCTGTGTCCTGTGCCGATTTTCCATGTTTTGTCCTATGTTCTCGTCATGTGTCTGTGTCTTGTATTCTTATACTGTGTCTTTGTGCCATGTCTGTGTCCCATGTCCCTGTCCTGCATCTTGTGTCCATGTCCTGTGTCTGTGTCATTGTCCCATGTCCCTTGTCCTTGTCCCTTGTCCTTGTCCTGTGTCCATGGGGGGTTTTCAAGGGTGTGATCTTTTGGAAACAGATTGCCAGGTCTTCCTCTCAAGGCAAATGGGAGGGGTTCAAACCCCAATGTTGAATGCTGTCTACAGGGGAAATTACCACGAAGTCACAGTAACAAAGACTACAAATCTGTTTCAATGATCTGAAGACAAGGTCGTTTTCTCCTTGCTAATGCTGGCAATGTCAAGGCCACAGGGGCATTCAGCAGTCAGGGAAAGCGCAGAGGATTCCTAACAGGATCATCTGGGTTTATATCAAGGCTCAGCCGGTAGTCAGGCTTTAGCTGCAGGCAGACTCTAAAGTAGTATTTAACCATCTGCATTACTTTCTTTCTCTGACTTAATCTAAAACCCATCAAAGCCACCACCACTGAGTTGATTGCAATTCACAGTAACCCTGGAAGACAAGGTGGACCTGCCTCATCAAGTTCCCTAGATTACAAATCATTCCAGAAGCAGAGCACCTCATCTTTCTCCCAAGGAGCAGTTAATGGGTTTGAATAGCTGTCTTTCTGATTTGTAGCCTGGTGCACCAGGTTTCTTTTGGCTTAGTGTGCTAGAGGGTAGAGTCTATATGAAAAGCAGAGAAGGGGCAGGTTTTAG